ACCCCGCCGGGCTTGGGGTTGGCATCTCTGAACGCCCTCTACTTTTCCGTTATTTTATTAAAACTGTGACGTCGCCGCCTGCGGCCTGCGACCCCTCCGCGGTCAGCGGCCTCTCCTCTCCGCCTGCTCCTCCGGTGGGCGCTGGGAACGCGCTCATCAGCGCCCCCGCGCGGCCGGGCTGGGGGTGCCGGGAGCTCCCCCCGCCCGCACCCTCCGGGCCTCGGGTTCTCTCGCCAGCTGGCTGGCGCTGCACGTCCACACCAGCCTTCCCGTCTCTGAAGCAGGGCGGTGGGAGCAGAGGAACCCTAAATCCTTTCTATTCAACCATTTTCCTGATGGTGAGAGTGTGCTCCCAACAAGCTTGATTCACACGCGGACTGTAAAGATTCAGGCTCGGAGCTCCCTCGCCCTGTTTCCTTTTGCTTTTGGGGGCATCGCTTTTGGGAAGCCAGAGGCCAGAGTCATTTCGTGTAGCTTCTCCAGGAGGCTTTGTGAACCCGCAGGAAGCGTCCAGTCCTGGAGTATGTGGTTCAGCTGCTATAAAGCAGGTCTTAGCCCATTGTTTTCTTCAACAAAACAGAGATTTCCATAAAAGAAATCTATGCAGGATGTGTGTGTGCACGACTATTTCTGTGTGCTTATATGTGTGTGCATGTGTATATACATGTGTGCATGTGGGTATATGTGTGCGTATGTGTGTATTTTTGTGTGCATGTGTATATACATGTGTATCTGTGCATATGTGCGTATCTGTGTGTGCATGTGAACACGTGTATCTGTTCATGTGCATGTGTGCATAGGTATGTGTATCTGTACATATATTTGTGTGCATGTATATGTATATATAGCTCTGTTTATTGTGTGTGCACAGGGTATGTATCATTTGTGTGTGTGTGCATATCTCTGTGCGTGTGTGTGCATGTGCATATGGGTGTTTATCTGTGTGCATGTGCATGTGCATGCATACCTATGTATCTGTGCATATATGTATCCGTGTACCTGTGTTTGCATGTGCATGTGTATATACATATGTGTCTATGTATGCATCTGTGCATATATGTGTGCCGTATGTATGCATATGTGTATCATGTGCATCTGTGTCTGCATATATGTGCATGTATGTGCACACATGCATATATACATGTGTGTATCTGTGTGTGCATGTGCAGGTGTTTCTGTGCATGCACATGTGTGTGTACATGTGGCTCCACCCAGTCTTCAGGCGGGTCCTGGTTCCTGCTCCGCACCGTGTCTGAGCTGAGCTGCACTTCCTCCTTCCCACAGGCGGGCTATCCGAAATAGCCGTTGCATAAAGCTGTGTTCTAGGACTTTCTCATCATATCTGCGAGTCTCTCTTGCGGAAGCCCCATGCCAGTCATGTTCACCTTAACTCCTTAATGGAGTTCTAATAGGTCCGAGGTTAGAAATGTCCTTCCCTTGGACTGAAGTAGACACGGCAGGAGCAGCGCCATTGTTCACACGTCCCAGCCTCCGTCAGAGGCACAGCAGGGCTCTGGAATGTTGTGTGAAGAAACCTCCTCCGTGCGCTTCAGCGGCCCCTACGTTCACAAAGTGCGAGTTCAGCAGCAGAGCGGGGAGAGTGTCAGTGCAGCACGGGGCCGCCTGCCCCAGAGGAGTCGCACTCAGACTCCGTAAAGGGGACGTGGTGACACTGGTGGGTGGTCTGCTTTGACGCCTTGACGCTCATGGTCACCAGTCACCCCACAGATGTCAGTGAGCCGTTATTTCCTGTAGAAACGTTGTACACACTCTGAATACTTTAATATATTCTTCCAACGGCTTGCGGTGCATCTGGGTTTGTTCCTGTACAACTTGGCAACCCCCCTTGTGGACTCAGGTTCTTCTATTATAATTTGCTTCCGTCTTTCTGCATTCAAAATGATAATACTTATTTAAAAGGGGAACTGTTCCCTCCACCTCCCGCTCAGGATTGCTGAGGCCACAGGAGGTGCCGGTGGACTCTGGTGCCGCTGCCCTTGCTGACCGGTGGTGGCTCGGCAGACGGGGTAGCTTGCTCGCACTGCTGGCCCTTTATCGCCGCACACCCACTATGTTAAGGAGGCCACGAATGTTCTATTTGTGCAAAGAGCATAGCGGTGCAGAATCCTCAGTTTTTCTCAGAGTCTGGCCTTCAAAATTATGGGTGGATAAAATATTACAACCTTTGAAATACAGTGTCTGCTTTCATTGGACGCCAGCAAAAATAAAAAGCATGTTTCTCATAGGGCCATCATTTCTGTGGCCACCGCCCAAGGAGAGTGTGCCTCCTTTGTCTGGTGGCCTTTGCTCGTCCAGCCCCCCTGCCCCGAGGCCGGCCCCACCCGGGCCTAGCCTGTGCTGGGCATGAGCATGCAGCAGTGAGGGTGTCTGGACCTCAGAGGGTGCACGGCACCGGGCACCAAGTCCTAACCACACAGGAGGCATTCCAGACCGGGTCACTGACCAGAAAAACATCCAGCCCCGGCCTTCATCTTGCTGTGCTTACAACTCGGGTTTCTGCAAAGAGGGGAGTTTGATTCATCCTGAGTGTGTATATGTTAGCCGTGTAAGGGTTTAAAGTGACCTTAAGGGCATGAGGGAGAGTGACAGTGACACAGGCTCACCTGTAGCACGCTGTGGTGCACGGAACACAGAAGCTAAAAATCGGTGGATCTCGTATCAATGTTCTGACCACGGTAAGATAAGTAACACGCTAAGGAGGACACAAGGGAGACACCACTAATTTTGAGTGAAATTCCAGGCATTTTGCATATTTCAGTAGCCTTGAGCTGGTGGGTGCTGTTCATACTCTGCTTAGTAGCAAAGACCCTGATTTAGAAGATCTAGAAAAAGGATAACGAGAAGGTGGTGTGAGATTGATGGCACGTTCATTTAGGAGGTGATAACAGACTTAATTTCGAGGGACGGCTCAGGCCGCCCCTGCAGTTCCAGGCCACGGAGTCCTGTTTCCTGCAACTCCATAGCCCGCCATGTGCCAGACGAAAACTTGGACTTTAATCTTCCGTCAGATATGAGGGCTGCGTGCCTGAGGACGTCCCACCAGCCGTAAGCGCAGTCTCCTAAGGAAGGCATCCAAGCCAGGAACGAGGCCCACATTGCTTGGAAAATTTATGCTTTTTGGGCACGTTTTGTGATAGTTCAAGTATTAGAAATGATTTGTGATTTCATCTGTGCCCTGGTGGGGACCTTGCGAGGGCTGGAATCATATCACTTTTCCTTGTAGACAGTCAAACCACAGGTTATACCAAAAAAATGAGGACAGAAGTCCAGCAAGGCAGTGATTTGTCCTCAGCGAAAACACAGGCTGCATTAAAACCACATGTCGCTGAGTGCGGGCTGGCCAGGCCGGAGTGCGGATCAACACATGAGCCCCGGGCCCGGGCGGAAGAGTGCTCTCTGCAGCATGCATGCCCTGGCACACGGTGCGGCCGGCAGCCCGCAGTCCGCACAAGCCGGGGACGGGGACGCTGGGCAGCAGAGTCTATATTCAGCACGCTGACACCGCCGGGGCTGTGGCCGCGGCCTCCATTCTGTCATAGCCAGCAGTTCTTACTACCAGGCAATCAAAAGTCACCATCTAAAATGCTGGCCAGTGGACACGTTTGAAGAGGCGACTCTCGGAGTCCAGAGGGCCTTTAAGATCTAGACAACTTATTATTTAAATCTGGAAGCACTTTAGGAAAATTGGGAAAGCCATTCATTTCAAGTTTTAAAACTCAGATGAGCTACATCGTCGGATGGCCCGAAGAAAATGCGAACTTGTGGTGGCGTGTCCCGGGGCGAGAGGCCCGTGGACGGCACACGTGGGGGCCCGGCCATGCATGCTGTGCCGCCGTGTCCAAGGGGCCCTCCCTGGAGCCCGTGGCAGGAGGCCCGGGCCCACACAGGGGTTCCTGCCTGCCGGGCCCAGACGCCCCACGCGGGCTGGTGTGGGCAGTGGGGGTGATGGGTGACAGGCGGCCTCGCCCACGAGCCACTACGGCCCTCGTGCACGTGCGTGTGTCCGTGATTGGGTGGAGGGTCTCGTCTTGTCTCCCGACTTGTGTCCAGAGAGGAGACACACTTAGCTGCTTCCATTTTCACCAACTTACGGGGTCGTAGGGGGCAGTTTCCCAAGGGGCAGGAGGAACGAAGCGCTTTTTATCAAATCATGTTACAGCACTGTTAACGTGAACACCCGAAAATCTGGGACAGAGCCGAGGGAGGGCGAAGGGTATTTGACTTTTTATCTGACTTCCTGTCAGATTTTCCTCTTGGAGATGGAGGGGGGGACCTTAGTATCACTTTGAGACCCTGGGACGCTGTGACACACACGAGGGCCACCGTGGATTTCCTGCCAAGGCCGTCCTCCGATGGGGCAGGTGCCCCGGGCCCGCAGCGCAGGCCGGGCGTTGGGTCTGAGCTGGACGTGGGCCCTAGAGGCGGCCCCCAGAGTGGCTTCGACCCACAGGGGCCCGCCTGCAGCTGAACTGCAGCTGGACCGTCTTCATTTTCCAGGAAGCAACGTCTGCCGCTTAGCAGGACACGCAGGGTGGCTTCCCGCTCGTTAAGTGCAGCGAAAGCCCTGCTCCCTCCCCCTCCCCCCGCGACCTGCGGCCCCGCCCCCACGCGGCCCCGCCCCCACGTGGCCCCACGCGGCCCCGCCCCCCTCCGCGCGGCCCCACGCAGCCCCACGTGGCCCCCGCTCCCCCACGCGGCCCCCGCCCCCACGCGGCCCCGCCCCCCTCCGCGCGGCCCCACGCAGCCCCACGTGGCCCCCGCTCCCCCACGCGGCCCCCGCCCCCACGCGGCCCCGCCCCCCTCCGCGCGGCCCCACGAGCCCCCGCGCCCCCCCGCGGCCCCGCCCCCCTCCGCGCGGCCCCACGAGCCCCCGCGCCCCCCCGCGGCCCCGCCCCCGCGTGGCCCCCGCCGCGGGGCCAGCACCTGGGCGCCCGCAGGTCCCGGTTGTGTAACTGCCCGGCGCCGTGCTCTCCCCGCAGACGTGTCCCGGTGCGTGGCCGAGAGGAAGTACACCCAGGAGCAGGCCCGGAAGGAGCTGCAGCAGGTGTTCATTCCGGAATGCAACGACGACGGGACCTACAGCCAGGTGAGCCCTTGTCCCCGTCCAGCTCCCGCAGGGTCCGCTACGGGCTGGGGGGGCCCGGGCGTCCGGGGGGGCACGGGGGGAGGGGCTATGGGGGAGGGACCCGGACGTCCCTAGGAGGGGGGGTGCGGCAGGGAGGGGCCCGGGCGTCCCTCGGGGGGACACTGGTCGGGAGAGGCCTGGGCTTCCCTGGGGGCGTCCACGGCGGCGAGGGGCAAGGGCGTCCCTGGGAGTGGGGCTGACTACGGGAATGGGGGCCCGGAAGTCCTTGTGAGTGGGGGACTCCGGGGAGGGCCGGGCGTCCCTGGGGCGGGGCCACGGGGGGCGCAGCGTCCCCGAGAAGGAGCAGGCGTCCCTGGGGGACTTCCTGGCGGGGCTGACTTTCAGAGCTACTGGGAACAGGGGCGAGTCGCCCCCGCCTGCCCCCCGCCTGCCCCTCTCCTGCCCCCGCCTGCCCCCCGCCTGCCCCTCTCCTGCCCCCGCCTGCCCCCCTCCTGCCCCCGCCTGCCCCCCGCCTGCCCTCGCGCACGTGTCCGTGTCCCCGCCTGGCGCCCGCAGCCGCCCCGCCGGGGTGCGGCCCTGGTCCCTCTCCCCGCCCGGAGCCGGCCCGGAAGGCCAGGCTGCTGGTGCCCGGCTCAGGGCGGCTTGTGACTCTCCTCCCACCTCCTGGGTCCGAGTCAGGAAAGTAACCCAGCTCTGTCTTAAGTGTGGCCGTGTCGTTAGTGTCAGGAGACCCGGGGGCGGGAGGGACCCTGTGGAGGCTGGGGGGCAGAATGGATGCTGGGGAGACCCCGGGGGGGGGGGATGCCGTCCCCTCCCCATCGCAGCCCCTGCCCACTGGGGAGAGCCTGAGCGTGCCTCAGCCTGCCGGGGCTCCTGGGGGCGGGGGGTGAACGCAGCACAAGCGCCTGGGCCGCCTGTCACTGTGTCCCGGTGCTGCCACGAAGCGGGTGTGGCCTCCTCGGGGGCCGCGGCGAGCTGACCCTGTCCTGCCACCCGCAGGTGCAGTGTCACAGCTACACGGGATACTGCTGGTGCGTCACGCCCAACGGGAGGCCCGTCAGCGGCACGGCCGTGGCCCACAAGACGCCCCGGTGCCCCGGTAGGTGCCCCCGCGCCGCCGTCCTGACCCTCACCCTGTGTGCTGGCGTCGCAGAGGAAATGCGGAGTAGGTGGCGGCGGGGATTGACAGCCGGGCTTGTGTCCCGCACAGAACCTCAAATGGCACGAAAAGCCAGGTCTGAACATGGAAGGTTCTTTGACTCAGGATTCTTAGTCTTTTAGGAATGACCACAAGGGCTGTAGTCAGCAGTGCAGATCGCCACGTGTTTTCTTTGGCGAAAAAAAAAAAGAAAAAGGAAAGTTCTGGTTTTGTGTGTATATGTTTGCAAAGAAAAAGAGGCCCATTCTTCACAGTTCCAGCCACAGATGGTTTATTTGTGTTATTTTATCCCTCATAGGAGGACTTGGTGCACGAAGGTAATCTTCCTGGCAGGAGAGACTATGAAATCGTCCATTTTCCATAAATATTTTACCAAAAATGATATAAATGATTCACATCATTTTTGAGAATGTTTTGCAGCTTGAGTTGTGATTTTTTAAAAAAATTATAAGTGTTTCTTTTTGAGAAAGAGAGAGACAGAGCTCGAGAAGAGCAGGGGCAGAGAGAGAGAGAGAGGAGACACAGAATCTGAAGCAGCTCCGACTCTGAGCTGTCAGCACAGAGCCCGACACGGGTCTCAAACTCACGAACCATGAGATTGTGACCTGAACTGAAGTTGGACGCTTAACTGACTGAGCCTCACAGGCGCCCTTTGAATTGTGATTAATTGGCTGTGGGGACCTATCAGAGCATCTGTGAAGGGGCTTCATGACCTTTGCACTGAGGTCCCTAGATTAGACTGTGGTACAACATAGCCACAGTGATAATGAAGTTCAGGGCATAGTCCTGATACTTCATGTAAAATATTGAAACATTTAAATTGAGGACTTACTTTTAGACTTATTTTTTTATTTAAAGGTCAGGCACCTTCTAATTAGGGATTCTGCTCATGATTCAGACGCTTCTACCAGCAGCCAAGACACAGGCCAGAACTCATAACTGCCCAGCCCGATGACATCTGTAATTAACAGCAACACGAAACCTAATATTTCCAGTGACTGGTCATCACTTAAAAGCCACGGGGTGTGCATGATGTGGAATTAAAATATATTTATTTCAAATAACTATTTTGTTATCCAAGAGCTAAAAATTGCTGACAAATATTTTTAGTGAGCTAACGTTTGCACCTAATAATTCTTGTGCAGACTCACGGAGTAACTGAAGGAAAGGAGAGAATGGTACCCGCCGTGGCCTCCGCGTGGGTCCCTCGCTCTGGGACGTACTTTCACAGACTTACTTCATCTCAGGCGTGTGGCAGCAGTTTGCATGGAGCCTTATTGTTCACAGGAGAGGGCCGGGGGGATTCCTATTTTTTGTGATTTTAGTGATACCGTTTGAAAAATTAAGCTGTGTCTAAAAGATCTTTATTGGAAAACCATGTACAAAATTGGCTGAATTTCTTACATTCTCCAAACAGTCCTTTGTTTTTGGAATCAAACCACTGTACTGTGACTCACGTGTTTTTCCAAGCAGGTACTAGTGATTATAATTTAACTGTATAGACAGGCTCCATTTCCTCACTGTCCGTGTGGATTCTGGGGTCCACATGATGGATTATGAAAAACAGCGTGCTCAGAAGTCCGGGGTCTCTTGTGTGGGAAGCAAGGGAGAAGCTCAGTGTTCCAGGGCAGGGTTGGGGTGTCGACGGGGCTGGCTCTCCTCTCAGACCCTCTCTCCACTTCCACGGTTTGGGGGCTGTGACCTCGGGGTGCCTGGCCGGTGCCCCCTCACGCCTGCTGGTGCTGCTGGTGCGTTGAAGAACTTCCAGGGAGCTGTAGGAAAGCCTCTCAGCCCCCGCTTCAGCCGTGCTCTTACTCTGTGCAAACGCGGGAGTGGAGAGCAGGGGCTATGCTCAGAAGCTCTGCAGGGCTGTGGGGGGTTGTCAAGAGGGTCAGACCAGGGGGTTTCGGGACGCTGGAGCTCCCGCATGCATGCGCGCTGCCCAGGCCCGTTCAGGCACACACGCACGTGAACAGTGTATGATGGACTCTTGCATAACGAGGGTGGACTTCTCCCCAGAGGCTGACAGCCTCGCAGGCCCTGCAGCGCGGCGGGGCGATGGGACCGCACTGTGCATGGGCCGGGACGCTAATGCGCCGCAGGGGCTTGGGATTTGGTCCGCAGACAGCCAGGGACTCTGTGTGCACCCCCCCCTCACTGGTCCCCCGGCTGGTCCGTCGTGGCTAGTGTCCATTAGCCACGGCTGTAAACGACGGCCCTGGTTTGCACCTGGTTTATTGGAATTGGGTGAGCCTCAGTGTTCAGCAGCTGCCTGCGCCCTGGAGTTCACACCAAGCTTACCCTGTAAATACATGCTATAAACATGTAAAACCTGGAAAAGAGGTTTAAAATGTGGCCATAAAGAGTAACTGTCACTTCGAACGTGCACGTGCGTGTATTATGAACACGCGCTGACACAGGAATGGACCACAGCACAGGGAGGCAGATGCCACATGTTGGCGAGATTTCAGCGGGACGAGAGCCCCAAGTCTTCCACCTTCTCCCTTCTCCCAGAAGGACTCTCGGAAGAAGGGTTCCTTTATTCTATCAATATGTATTTTTAAGCCATTACTACAAAATAGCCAAACTCCCATTAATAAGAAAAATGAGATGACACTAGCAAAAAATGGTCCAAAGTTTTAAATGGGGAGCATTTCAATTTTTTTTAACATTCATTTTTTTTAAAATATTTTTATTTATTTCTAGCAGAGAGAGAGAGAGAGATAGCGTGAGCAGGGGAGGGTCAGAGAGAGGGAGATACAGACTCCGAAATAGGCTCCAGGCTCTGAGCTGGCAGTCAGCACAGAGCCCGACGCGGGGCTCGAACCCACAAACTGCGAGATCACGACCGAAGCGAAAGTTGGACGCTTAACCGACTAAGCCACCAAGGCGCCTCTAACATTTATTCATTTTTGAGAGACAGAGACAGAGTGTGAGCAGGGGAGGGGCAGAGAGAGAGGGAGACACAGAATCGGAAGCAGCTCCAGGCTCTGAGCTGTCAGCACAGAGTCTGATGTGGGGCTTGAACTCACAAACTGTGAGATCGTGACCTGAGCTGAAGTCATACGCTTAACCCACTGAGCCCCCAGGCGCCCCTTAAACAGGCAGCATTTTATAAAGGAAGGAAGCCTGATGGCCAGCGATCAGAAGTGTTGAGGCTCGTGTACCAGGGAAATGCACATGAACTTACAGCGAGAGTCCCCTACACGCCACCCAGTTAGCAGCAAAGAAAAAGCTCTCTGTGACGTGCCCTTGAGCGCCGAAGTGCAGAGCCTCCCGTGGGAGGCTGCAGCCACTGGGGCGGAGCCCGCGTGCCCTTCCCGTGCGGTGACGCAGCGCCGCAGGCTCCCCGAGACCCGCACTCACGGCTGCAGCAGGGGAGACCCAGGCCCCCGGGCGTCCACGGCAGCGTTTGCTCTAACAGCCAGATCCGGGAGGTGGCTGGATGTCCGTGGGGCCCGTCGTGGTTCGCTCCGTTCATGCCGGCGCGTGGCTCCAGCGCGGTCCCCAGGGGAAGCCTGGAAACACACAACACAGGGGTCCGTTTAAAACCTGAACCCAGACAAGAGTCCCCTCCGGCACTCGGAGAAGCCTCGTCGGGTGGGACGCCACAGAGACAGGTGCCGAAGGGCCGTCGCACGGATCACAGCACCAGGGCGGGGCTAGAGCGTGCAGGGCGTGTTGGCGGAGCGGGGTTGGACCGGGGCCCCCTCTCCAGAAGGAGAAGCTATTTCTCTGCATCTTCAACAATAGTCTGTCTTGCTCGGCCTGTTTGTTCGTGTGATTCTAGGCAGGAGGGCAGCATTTCACAGGTTTAGGAAGACTTAGAAGGTTAAAGAGCTCATAGCACTGGCAGAGGTAACACACTAGGCTAAATTCCTCCTGAGGCCTCACGGCTCCCTGACCTCCTTCCCTGAGGGTCTCCTCGGAGGGAAGGGGCGCCCGGGCTCGAGATGCTGCAGGAGCCTTAAGGAAGGACGCACCGGAGGCGGGAAGGGAGGGACGGGATGGAAGAGGCGGAGATGACGATTTGAGGATGAGCGGCTGTGCTTGGCCTCCGAGCCGGTGTGCAGGGGCGGGGGCGGCAGGCCTGGTGCCCGCCTGTGGCCCCTGGGCGCTGGCCGGCACAGCAGCCTAGGTGGGAGTATTTGCCAGGCGAGGACTCTGCCCAAGGCCTCCGTGCTTCAAGGGACAGAGCTAGGATTTAAATCTGTGTCTTTCTGCCTCTATAGCCCACGTTTTCAGTCAAGAGCAATAATGCAAGACATGGGCCTTGAATGCCTTATTGAGAAAGTGTGTAAGTCCACGGCCACGTGGAGGTTTTGTGGAAGGTACTCGGAGCTGCCTGCGGCCCCTCCACCCCCCACGTTAGTGCCTCGGTGCTTCTGACAACCTGCCATCTACTTTAATCAGCTCTAATCAAGGATGGTCCCTTGGGGTGAGGACTCTGCTTGGATTGATGCCAGTGAGTGATCTGCTGGGTCTTTCCAGCCACGGCCTACAAGAGGCTGTAAGAGGCAGGGGCTCAGTGGAGGGGAAGGTTGGGGGGGGCCCAGCCCTTCTGCCTTGGTGACCCCCTTTCCTGGTAACCGGGTTATTAAACGTGGCAAACTCCTAACCCAGTAATAAGCTCCTGCTCCAGTAAGTCGTAGTGAGTGAGACCCGCTGACCTGGGGCTCACGCCGAACGTCCAGCTGCTCCTTTCTCCCGAGGAGTCCGTTCCCTGTCATCGCTGATTCATTTATTTGCTGTTGAGGATTTGCCAGGCAGGGCGCATGTGGCGCTGGGGCCTCTGCAGACACGCGGTCACCGCTGGGAGCGTTAGCTGAGGGCTGCAGGCCCGCGAGAGGGTGGCTTGCTGCCGGGCGGACGTGGACTGGTGAGGGACAGATGGTTCTGGGAAGGTGGTTCAAGGTTCTGGAGAGTTCCGGCTCCTTGCT